AAAGGAGTGGGGCAATTTCTAGGAACCGCACGCACTCCGAGGGACAAAGGCGGCCACCTGTCCCTGAAGTCACGACACTGTGTGGAGGTGGGGAACCTGGTTTCACATCCTGGCTCGGCTCCACCTGGGTCTGGTCTGAGTCTCTTCAGCCAGAAAATAGACAGCTGTTCAAAAGCTGAGACCGGGTCCCCACGTGTCGTTTTGTGGCTCTGAGCCCAGGACGGTCGACATCAACAGCCTCCTCTGAAGCCACCTGGACTTCAGATGAAATCTCTGTCTGCGGATTTTGGCTTGCGCGGCGGTGCCGGGCTATGATGGACAGACTCCTGCTGAGGGCGGCCAGGTGAGCTGGACACCGGGCACTGGAGGGCTGTGCAGATGGTGACGAACGTCTCGAGAAAGTGTGGCAGAGGGTGGGAGCCCGGGAGCTTGGCTTTTGGGGTTACTTTCTCCTACGTGGAGGGTTTGCTGAGAGGCTGAGTGACACCTCTATCAGCCTTGCAAGGCTAGGGGAACGGGGGTCGAGATCCGGGGCCTTCGAAGGGCAGAGAGCGTGGCGACCCTCTCCTTGGTCCGAACTGGGACAAAAAAGTGGCACCCTCTAAGAATAAGGGTACACAGGAAGTAGACAGCCACTGACAGCAACCGAAACCCAGTTTTGAATAATCTCAGGACTGAAGTGACACTAGCTTGCTAGCAGCCTTGGAGGCTGGCAGAAGTAGACACGAATCCTCTCTGGGGGAAAACGGCACCATCTCAGCCCTCAAACGGTTTCTACAAATCAGTCTGCAATTACGATGTGTAGCACACAATTAGAAATAATCAGGCATACAAGGAGACAAAGCCTCACGAACACAAATCAGCAGAAACAACAGCCAATACGAACAGACTCACAGGGGTTATAGGCACGAGATCTGACGGAGACTTTAAAATAACTGTGTTAATTACATTCAAGAAGATAAATAGTGACACCCGGAATTTTAGCAGTGAATTGGAAAGAACCCGTGGACGAATGGAAAGTGCCAATATCTGAAATGTAAGAACAGAATGGAAGACGTAGTATCACTAAAGACTGTCAAGGAGAAGATTAGCGAACTGGAAGGAGTTCAGGGGGAAATATCCAGAATGAAGCACAGAGACACACAGGGAAAAAAAACCACAGCAGAGGAGGCAGATGTAGGGGTGCCCTGAGGGGTGCCCTGAGGTCTGATACACACGTAATCGGAAATCTGGCAGGAGGAGAGAGAGAATGGGGCAGAAGCGATTTTTAAACAATGACAGATAATTTCCCACAACCGATCAGAAAAACCTCGAGCCACAGATTCAAGAAGCCGTAGCATCTTAGAAACCGACAGAGAAATGGCCAATAAGACGTAGTGACTTTATATATGTGGAAAGGCGCCCAAGGACGAGTCATCAGGCAAACGGGAATGAAAAGCATCACGAGAGGCTGCTTCATAGCGACCAGAGTGGCGAAGTTTAAAGAGGCCGACGGTACTCAGGGTCGGGGAGGGCGGAGAAACACCAGGAGCTGAGTGATGGATGAAACGGCGCAAACCACTCGGGAACACGGGTCAGCAGGTTCTCATAAGGCTACACGCACACGTAACCTATGGGCCAGCAATTCCCTTCCGCGGGCTTTGCCCCAAACAAATCAAAACATGTTGCCAAGAGAACGATATGACATGTTCCTACGTCTTCATATATAGTGGCGAAAACTGGAGATGACTCGGGTGACCGTCAATAGGAGAACGGGTGAGCAACTGGTCGCTCAGACTACGGGCCACGACCGCGCTCCGAGAAAGGACAGGTGACTGCGAGGGGGGGCCACCCGGGCGAGGCCCGTGGCGCTTCGTCGAGCAAGAGATGACGGGCGGCGACTGCTCCGCGTGGTGGCCGGGGCGCCGGTGTGCACGGGCGCGCCCATCTGTCGGACTTTAGCAAACCCCGGCTCCCGGCTCTGCTTCTGTCACCGAACGCGCATGACACCTCAGTGAAATCGGTGCGTCGCGACACGCAAAAACATAAGCTGCCGGAGGAAAGGGGGCAACGATTCGGTGGACCCGGCGGAAATTCTAGGCCTGGTGAAAATAAGCTTCGAGAATTACGGGGAAATAAAGACATATTCGGGCCAACAAAAACATTTTTCTCACTGGCAGACCTGCCTCCTGAACGGTAAAATGAAAGCATATTGGAGAAAATGAGCCCAGATGAAAGGCAGGAAATTCGAGAAGGGCTAAAGACAGACAGACAGACAGACAAACAAACAGAAAAAAAAACACAAACTGAGGAAGGAAAGGAATTTGATAAAATAATGAGAAAGTTCCTGGGGAAAATACACAGGAAGTGAAAGCCTTCGGAACGCACGTGAATCACGAGCTGTCAACTCCCACAGACGACGTTCTGTGCTTCTGCCTTAAACAGTTTAGGACACTCTTTTTCATTATGCTCTTTTGGTGATCAGAGTCCAGTGGCTGGAGTCCCCATTAGTACCTCAGAAGTTTGCTAGTGACATCTTATCTGAATTGAGTGGCTTTACGTATAGGAAAAAAATGCAGGCGGCATCTGAAAAAAATCTTTCTTCCCCTCCATGGGCTGTGACCGGTCCAGGGCCAGCATGACAGGGTCCAAGGCCAGCTGTCCCCGCTGCTCCTCAGGCCGGCACTGCCACCGCAGCGGGCCTCGGCTTCTATAAAATTGGGAACTAGAAAGGAGTTTCATTTCCATTTGTTTTATATGTAAAATTTAAAAATTCTTACAACGGTGTCATACTATATACATATAACCAACGTGTAATAAATGGAGCGTTCGTAAAGCTCCCGGTTTGAGGACCGTGGACATGTGCCACATGTCAGTGACACCATCGCCACAATCAAGAGTGACCACGTCCATCACCCCAGATGCTCAGAGGACCGCCAGTTCCTCGCACTGCTCTGAAGCTGAGGGTCTTTGCTCCGTCGTAACTTCATTTTGCAGACGAGGGAATAGGCTCAGAGACGGGCAGTGATTTGTCTAAAGTCACCCAGCTATCAAGTTGCAGAAACAGAATTAGAAATAGTAGGAGTGTGGGTGCTGGGCCCAGAGAAGTCCTGGTGGCCACCTGGGTCAGAGAAACCCCCGAGGGACACTGAATGACAGAAGCCTGAGCCTCGAGCCCCCTGTCTAGCGGTCTGGAAGGGGCTCAGTCCCAAGGACTCTGCTGCCGGCTTCCGATGGTGCCGCCTGCATGCGCACGAGAAGCCTGTGCAGTTCCTGAAAGACACTGTCACCTCTGCACGACGTGGAGGACCCCTGTGAGGGCTTCTCGAGGTGGCATTTCTGTCCCCTTTCTCCTTTGGGGTTTTGTGGCAGCTGAGTCCTGCTTCCGTCTTGGCACTCAGGGGAGTGACAGGCATGCTCTACGGCTGCAGAACAGGCTCAGATGTTGCAGGCTCTAAGATGTCACTTGGGTTTTGGGTCTTGCCGAGACCCCAGACTCTGTCTGACACCCCCGAGGGGATGCATGGCAAGGAGGTACCAGGACCCTCTTGGGGGCGGGCGGTCCAAGCCACGGTGTCCTACGGTGTAGAGCCACGACGCAGACGGCACGCTGAGGCGGCTGCAGCCCCTGCGGGGACCCCGGAGCTCTGGGGCCGCCGGGACAGTGGACGTGCTCCGGGCCACGCGGGCGCACACCCTGGCATCCGGGAGAAGCTCGAACCTGCTGAGCGTGTCTCGACGGGGCAGACAGAGGCCCGCTCAGACACTGCACCAGGCTGGCGTCCCCCGGGGACCCAGGAGGGCTGACGCAGCTCCTCTGTGGGCCTGTGATGCCATCTCCACCCTCAGAGGTGTTTTCCGGCTGCACAGGAAGAATGACGGCGAGACCCAAAAATGCCGGCAACCCCTGTGAATTCCGCACATAGCTCTCATAGCTGGGACGGGTGCCACTCCCAGCCCGCTCGATAAACCGATAAAGGACACGGAGCAGCCGTCTGCTCACCAGAAGGGAAGGCAGGCGGCCAGCGGGGAGCCTCCCAGCCCCAC